TCATGTAAGGGGAAAGGCGTATGGAGCACGTTAAAAATGTGTCAGGTGTCCACCCATCATTTTACCCAAGCCTTTGTTTTAATTTATTTTATTTTATATTATATTTACACAATTTTGAATTTAGGAGCTTTTGTGAGTACAATTTATTCATTGTTTTTTGCGTGTTTAGGAACAAAATTATCTCCAATTGGAATAAAATATTACAAATTTTTATTTAGCATTCAACAGATCTTAACAAACTCTCCTAGGTTTCTCCACTTCTAATGGTAGCAATCTGAATGGGGTTTTATAATTCAAAATCACTATAAAATTTAAATTCTAACACGAGAATAACATACTCCCACGATAAAGACACCCACAATAACAAGAAGAAAAAACTCTCAACGGGAGAGGAACCTACTCTCAACAAGAGAATAACCGACTCTCAACAGGAGAATCGACACCTAAAAACACTAAAAAAGGACCTACAAACAGAAAAAGAAAACAAAGAACCATAAACAAAACAGAGCAATACGAACAAAATAAAAAGTATATGTCATTCTAGTGCTTAATTATAATATTATGTGCCGATTTACTGTGAATTAGAGTAATTCATGTATACCATGAATTCAACTTATGTACAGTATAACTTTTAAAATTACAAAACACTTAGATCGATATAAATAATAAATATATCTTTAAAACTAATATTTTTTATTTGTCTATATAATCACTTTTTTATATATGGTATATCAAATTGATCATTTTCTGGTATGTTTTTATCTGACGTCCATATTGCATATATAATAAATAATTATATTTATCCTTATAATAAAAAATAAATTATAAAATAATTTATCAATTAATTAAATTTATCTATGAAGTTATTATATGATTGGGTTATAAAAAAGACTGTAACATAAGGTAAACAAGTGAATGGTGTCATTTTAAATATAGATAATAAATAATACAACTTCTTAAAAAAAAGTACTTAAAATTTAAAACAAAGACTTTTTTATTAATTTGTTAAATTTAATTACCAAATTCTTAACTAACATGAGTGTAATACACAGTACTATACTAGTAAAATATATAATATGATAGATAAATAGCCATTACGATATTGAATATTTTTGTATGTATCACTCAATATCGAGAGCCTTTTCACATACTTGAAAATACATATTTTAGATAAAGATTAATAAAAAAGTAGATTTAAAATTTAGTTACTACTAATCTTAAAGGGTGTGCAAAATAACACACCATCAAGGGCGTGGTATCGGAGCTTCGGAGCTCTCCTCGGGATCGGTTTGTCTGTTGTCCTCTTCGAATGTATCTGCTGAGGGAGGCTGTGTTTTCTTATGTGTAGGTGTTTATCGTTTTTGTTCTTGCTTTGTCGTTTGTGTTGCTGTTCTTGTTAGTTATTGTGTTTTAGGTTTGGGCCGTTGGCCTCAGTCAGTCCGAGTGTGAACTTATTATCCTTTTGGGACCACACACTCGGACATTACCCTGTTGGGGCCGTTTTTAGTGTTGTGATTTCGTGTGTGCGATTTTTACCCTGTTAGGGTCGTCTTTGTGTTGTGTGGTTATTGCTCTGTTAGGGTCTTTAGGCAGGCTTCGTCCTGGCCTCTCATGTTTATTCAGCCGGTGGCTGCGTTTGTCAGTTGGTGGTTGTATTTTTGCATATTTGTGTCGTATATAAAATCTCTATCGTTCCGGAAAAAAAAAGAGTTGTGATTTAAACTGAGGTGGGAACACAACTCATCTTAGCTCGTGAAAGTTCGAACTGATTAACTTATTCATTTACTTAATTAAACGAGTCGAGCTCTTACAACTACTCGAGTCATTTCTTAAATACCTGAGCTTAGCACGCTAGCAGACAACTCGTTTCTTTATTTATTGCAAACTCACAAATCGTATTGACAAACAACTAGCTCGTTTACAGTTTTTGATCTGTTAAACGAGTCGAACCGAAATTTCATTAGCTCGAGTCGATTCATTTACTGAATAAGTACGAGTTCGAATACGAAGTGCTCGGCTCAACTAAAATAATAAAATAAATAAAATAAATGAATCCCATCAATTAATTATGCTTCTTTCTCATATTGGAGTTCTGATTATAGTGTCATTTAATCAATTTATCATGCCATACCAAAAAGACAAAATTAAAAGAATAAAAAAAATAAAAAAAAAAAAAACAATTGCTTGACTGTGAACTATGCCTATGCATGTGTGTGATTGTGTGTGATTTTATCTTATGTATCTTACTATTTCCTTATACAAAATAAGCCAATAAGGTGGAAACTGTAGACTAGATGAACCATGATGTGTCACAATCCAAGTCATTATCAGATAGGGCATTATGGTTTTTGCCAGGTCATCATGCAGTAGCCACAAAATATGGTTTGGTGCAAAAGAGCTTTGTTTCGCCTTCTGTAGTTAACAACTTATTTTCCTTTCTATTTCAGGATACAAGAGATATATATTATAGGGTTGTCAAAATAAGGCAATATAATTATGAGTTTTATACATATATAGACGATATAGCTACAATAATTGAGCGTCTACAAGGGTTGCGTTTTGCTAATTTATATATTTAGGAATTGTTGACGAGTGATCGTCAAGTTAAAAAGTAGATAAGTAGTAATGAAATAGAAATTAGATATGTATTGTATTTGATATAGCCCTCAGGGACATGTCGGTTTGGTCTGATCCTAAAGACCGACCTCTGACATTCATCGTATTTTCATGCATTATGAGTGATATAGTGTGATGTTTAACCGTGTTTATCGTGGGATTGTGCACCATTTTGTTTGATTTATTAATCTATGATAGAGGTACATTTGTCGTTGGTTTTTTAGGAAATATGCCCGAAAGAGCGTTAAAGATGGAATTGAGATGAAAAACGGCAAAAACAAGGTGCAGGCAGGTCACACGACTCGTGTGAATAGGTGACACGAGTCGTGTGGGTTGAAAAGATGACGAAACTGAGGAATTTTGCTTCGGCTTTTTTACACGACTCGTGTGTAAAGTGACACGGGTCGTGTGACCACACACGGGTCGTGTGACCCGGTCGTGTGACCGGTCGTGTGAGTCTGTGAGTTGGCCGAAAGTTCGAGGAAAGTCACACGACTCGCATGTGACACGAGTCGTGTGACGCGCAGAGAGACTAGCAGAAAATAGGATTCCTACGCGATTTTGTCCCTTTTTCGACCCAAATTTGCCATACAGTATATAAGGAACATGGAGAACACGGTTTTGAGACTTTTGACACCATTGAAGGCTTAGAGAAAGCACAAAGCACACGAGGGATTCGAGGAAGTCAAGATTGGAGATTTGGGAACGAACGGCGACAATAGTTCTTCTTTCTTTTC